AGGCTCCCCGTGAGTGGCACGACACTCTCCGTGCTACGCTTGCTGACCTGCAGTTCTTTCCGTCTTCCGCAGACCCTTCACTCTTCGTTCGTGCTGGCCAGACTCCGTTCTACATCCTTGTTTACGTCGACGACCTGGTCTTTGCCACAGCTGACAGGGACGCACTGGCCTCCGTGAAGGCAGAGCTGCTGAAGAGACACACGTGCACTGACCTTGGAGAACTGCGCCGTTACCTTGGCTTGCAGATCTCCAGGGACAGAGCTGCGCGCACCATCACCCTGACTCAGTCACACTTGGTGTGCCAGGTCCTTCAGAGGTTCAGCCTTCAGTTCTCCTCTGCACAGCCCACCCCTCTGCCTGTAGACCACAGACTCTCCGCTCCAGTACCTGAGGAGGTGGTAGAGCCCAGTGGCCCCTACGCAGAGCTGGTGGGTTGCCTCATGTACCTGATGACTTGCACTCGCCCAGATCTCGCATACCCTCTCAGCATCCTGGCTCGCTTTGTGGCCACAGGCAGGCACCGACCGCAGCACTGGTCTGCCGCTAAGAGGGTTCTGCGTTATCTTGCTAGTACATCGGGCATGGGGTTAGTGCTAGGAGGACGCAGGCCAGTGGTCCTTACTGGACACACAGACGCTTCGTGGGCAGACGACGCTGAGACACTCAGGTCTACCCAGGGCTACCGCTTCAGCCTTGGCTCAGGTGCCGTCTCGTGGAGAGCTACCCGCTCCTCGTCTGTTGCACAGTCCAGCTGTGAGGCTGAGATCTACGCTGGTGCCATGGCGGCACAGGAGCTCCGCTGGCTGACCTTCTTGCTCACTGACTTAGGTGAGCGGCCTAGCTCTGCCCCGGTCCTGTACACTCACAACAGGGCCATGATACTCCTGTGCCAGGAGCCTCGACTCGAGGGCAGAGCAAAGCACATTCAGCTGCGGTACTTCCTCCTGCGTGAGCTACAGCAGCGACGTCAGGCTCGCGTAGTACACTTGGCCTCAGGTGCCAACACGGCTGATATCTTTACGAAGGCGCTTGCGCCTAAAGATCATCAGCGGCACTGTGTACAGCTTGGTCTAGTTCCTGTAGCCTCTCACTTGCTAGGACCTTGACTTTGTACTGTCCTTTATACATATACTCAGACTGGACTTGTGTCCTCTCCCAGTGGCTGGACTAGTAGTGCCGCCCTGCTCTTGTTCTTGCCTTGTTTGTACTCCTTCTGACTGGTCTCTCAGACCCTTGTCTCAGAGGTTGGACTAGTAGTGCCGCCCTGAGCTGTTTGTTTAGGGCATTCCCCTATGCAGTCTAGGGGGTGTGTCAAACATGTGTATTTGTCATGTTTGTATAGACTGTATAGGGTCGCCTCTTAGAGAGTACAACACTTAGGTATATCTGTGTGTACTCTCACTCTATCTATCATTCACTTCTCAATTTTGATACTCGTGATACGAGAACAGCCGTGTACAGTTCGCTTCCCCTCCCCCAAAGTCGTCACTGTTTGCGAACTGTTGATTGCAAGTTGTTGGGTTTCTTTTGCGTCGCGAGCAACATAAAATTTTCGCAGAGAAATAGTTTTCGCCAGGGGAGCTTTGCCGAAATTGGTTTCGCCCAGCGTTTTTGGCACTGTTTTCATGGTCAGTAAACATGGATTTTTACCATTCTAGACTCGGGCTTTAACAGCAGGGAATCTGGATAGGCTGGATGAAGCAGGGAATCCGGATAGGCTGGATGAAGCAGGGAATCCGGAGGCTCAGGAGGCGTGTCAGATGTGCGACATAGGAAGTGTGCGTGTGGTGGACTGTGGATGGTAGATCAATGCTGTCATGTGCACTCATGCGAGGCCTTCAGTGTAGGTATTGCTCTTTAATAGTAGCACTTGCTCAAAGAGGCACAATACATTGGAAGAGCTATGAACAAGGCTACGTATAGTACCGTAATCTCCCGGCATGATGACCCTAGGTCTTATGGAAAATTCATTGAAAATCGTTTGGGTGGACATTTTAAAGGATGGTAATTAATAAGACCCATGTGCATTTATTTATTACGTAAGGTGTTTGTTTGTCACATGTTCTGGTATTCCAATTGAGGTTATACAGGGGGTCCTTTGTTCCAAACGGGGGAAGTATATTCTTAGCCTCGTTTTGTCCGAGCCATCTAGATGGACACGCGTCGGATTCTTAGCATCGACGGCTGCCAACTTTACAGCGCTGGCGAATCGCGCGGGCTTCTTGACTGCCAGCAAGAGTCATTACATGGAGGGGAGAGGTTCGTTCACGAAGTCTCCCCACGGTCCACCCCATTGAGAGGTTTCTTGTGTCAGGCAGGCATGACTCCCTCCATCGTCGTGTCTCGCTCCGCCTCACGTCCCTCTCGTTTCCGTCTTCACAGAGGGGTAGTCGCTGCGACAAGTCTCATTTCCTGTTTTTCAACCAGGGTTTTTAGCAAGCTTGATGTTCCAGGAGATGGCATCTCTCCCCTCTCTCTCTGCTAAGTGTGGGATTTTTCCAAGCAACAGCCATGTCGGCTCTGCAAATGCTCATGCAGAATCGCGTATGTAGGCACACCCGTTCGCACAGCAGACCGTCCAGCTTTTCAGCAGCACCTTCACCGCCCGCACCTCCAGCGCCACCTGCGCCGCCTGCTCCCCCCGCGCCTCCCGCGCCGCCAGCGCCTCCTGCTCCTCCGGCTCCTCCTGCGCCATCGCCTACGTTTGCTGGCTTTTGGGAGCCAACAAATGACGAGGACCTCACCCCCCGTGAGCGTGTGCCCAACGCAGACGAATCCCCTCGTCCCTCCTTCCCCGTCCCTCAATTCCCGCCAGACATTCTGCGTCACGACACCGAGGCTCGGCGTCCACTTGACGCATGTGCACCAGAGCCTCGCGCCAGGAGGACAAAGCACCGCCGCACATCGCGCACCATGGCCGAGAAAATCGGCTGGCTGCACAAGATGCGCGACGAGGGGCTGACCATTCGACGGGTGGCGCGGGAAGCGGGTGTCGAGCCGGTGAGCATTCGGCGCTGGCTGAAGAAGGAAGAGGACATGACGCACGCCTCGGGCTCCAGGCGTAGGCTTGTGGGCGCAGGGCGACCGTCGAGGCACCCCGACATGGAGCAGGCTGTCTATAGAAAGTTCCTGAGCCACCGCTCCCGTGGCCTTGCAGTCCCGATTTCCCTCCTTCAGGTTTGGAGCCGGCAGTTCATGAAGACTCATCATCCCGAGGTGGACTGGAGGGCCTCACCTCATTGGACCTTCAGGTTTCGCGTTCGCTGGGGTCTCACCGTGCGAGTCAAGACCAAGATTGGTCAGCGTTTGACCCGCGGTAAGCCGACCTCTCTCATTCGCGCCGAGTGTTCTAGAATGTTTTTTAATCCCACTGCATGCCGTATGGTCGTGGAATAACATGGCGTATTCACCCCTACCTTACTCTTCCGCGTATTTTTTGTTTCCACTGGTAGATTGCAAGCCAAAGAGCGAAAGCTTTTGGCGCTTCGTCCGGAAACAGGTGCTGGAGAGCGGCATCGACCCATGGAACATGATCAATGCAGATCAAACTCCAGTGTTCCTGGAGATGCCTTTCGAGCGCACACTTCACCATCGGGGGGATCGGACTGTACAGATTCGGAGCGCCGGGTATGAGAAGGAGAGGGTGACGGTGATGTTGGCGGTGACAGCGGACGGCCGGAAACTGCCTCCCATGGTCATCTTCAAAAGGAAGACGATCCCTAATATTCGAGCACCACCTGGTGAGTTTTGCTTCATGACAGCCTATTTTGTCTCCCTAGCTGTTTCCCCCTTATTATTCCTAACAGTGTGCGTGCATTACTGTGCAGGTCTCCTCATTCGAGCCCAGGAGCGAGGCTGGATGGATGGAGGCCTCGTGCAAGATTGGGTGCAGCACGTGTTGCTGCCCTTCATCCGCCCCCCCACAGGTGTCTCGAGGAGCAAGACACTGCTTGTCCTGGACTCCTACCGTGGGCACCTGACGGACGGCGTGCTTGGCTCCTTCAGGTGGCACAAGATCACCCCCGCAATCATCCCTGGCGGCTGCACACCCCTGCTGCAGCCGCTTGACGTCGTCATCAACCGCGCCTTCAAGGCGGGCGTCCGGCGGTTCTACAACGACTGGTTCGCCACAGAAGGCATTGACCTGCTGACGCCCGCTGGTGAGCCTCTCTCATGTTTGCTGGTATGGGAGTGCCTGCCCTGTTTAACTCACAATTCAGGAATCTCACCTCTCTGTCTTCCTCTTGATTGCTTACTTGAGCAGGCAATCTGAGGAAGCCGCCGCCAGAGTTGGTCCTGCGCTGGATCTGGAACTCCTGGGACCTTGTCCCCGAGGACATCATTGTCCGCGCGTTCAAAACGTGCGGCATCAGCAACAACCCCGACGGGAGCGAGGACCACCTGGTCCTTGCTCACATGCGCGACGCTGCCCAAGTCGAAGTGCACGATGACGTGCATGCTGCCGGGGCTGTGGAAGAGTGGATCAATCCACTCTACGCGGAGGCCGAGCAGGAAGACGAGGGGGAGGGAGGCGAGGAGGAGGGGGATGGGCAGATGGCTGAGGAGGAGGAGGAAGAGGCAGAGGAGGCAGCAGCAGCAGCGGCAGCAACATCGGCAGAAGCAGCGGCAGAAGCGGCATCAGCAGCGGCAGACGAAGAGGCCTCAACAACTGAGTCTTGGAGTTCCCATGGCGAGGTGGACGTCAACAGAGCCTGGGACATTGAGTCCCTTCAGTAGTGGTAGCTAGTAGCAGTTCGATGGATGTGTACCGTATCAGTAGGTTCGATGAGTTGGTCTAACATGAGGTGTGCTGCCGTGGATGTGCAGTGCCTAGGACTCCCTAAGGCAGTATGTAGTGTAGGTAGGATGCAATTGGCATGAAGCAATAGTACCGGTACCGGTAGGACCGTCCTAACTAATGATGTGGAAGTTGACTTTGTAGTGCATGACGCATTTTGAAATTGAGCAAAAACTGCCATGAAAACCATTTAAAACTGAAGGGGGGGGGTCCTCAAATGATTTACCCCAAACAGCGGGTCCTCACAATCCCTTTACGATATTAAGACCCATGGTCCGGAAAAAAGACCCAGAGTCCCTTTTTCGGGGGGGTAATCATGCCGGGAGATTACGGTAGGTGAGCCACATGTGAGCAACAAGTCATGGCAGCGACTCAACATCCACATGAGCACCACAAGTACCAGTACCGGGTGATGGGTAGCCTCCAGCATCCACCAAGCACTAGCAACACCGGGTCTCGGTGGAAAAGGCGAGGGTGAAGTGGCAGCAGCCGGGCAGGGAGGGCAGGGCAATGGACGAATGCATGCATGACAGCTGCCCATGCACTCAGCTAAGAAGCTCTCGCATGCGCAGCAGCAAGTGGTGGCATGAGAGTGAAGTGGCAGCAGGTGGGCAGGGAGGGCACGGTCAGGCATGTATGCATGCTAGCTGTTCATGCACTCGTCTCTGCAGCGGTGGTAGCAAGAGCAGCAGCAGCAGCAGCAGCAGCAGCAGCAGCAGCAGCAGCAGCAGCGGTGGTAGCAGCGGGGAAGGTGAGGGTGAAGTAGCAGCAGTTGGGCAGCGAGGGCAGGGCGAGGCTGGCCATGCGATGGGCGAAGGGCATTCGAAAGGGGTTCAGGCGGACCTGCCATGGGGGTGTGGGGCATGCGAGGAGATGGGGTGCGTGGCATGGGAGGAGAATAGGACAGACAGGTGGGCAAAGGGGTTTGGATGCATGGCAAGAGGGCAGGCCATGTGCAATAAAGAAACAGAGAAGGGTTTGGCTACCTTGTTCATTACCTTGCGACGTAACATGTATGAGACGAATCATACCTCGTACAGCAGCAGGCGCATGCAGCCGTAACATGTATGAGACCAATCATACCTCGCTAATGACTGGCTCCAACGGAGCACTAGCTGAGTCTGCCTCTACTGCTCCCTCTGCTTCCCTCCGCAGCTCTCCAGCCAGTGAGCAGAGCGCCTCTCTGGCCCTCTCTGCAGCCTCGAGGCTGTAGTCCGTCACGAGCGCTGGCAGACGTAGGCGCAGCATGAGGACCTGCAGGGGGGACGGGAGGAGTGCCATGGAGAATGCCATGGAGAATGCCATGCAGAATGCCATGCAGAATGCCATGTAGAATGCCATGCAGAATGCCATGCAGAATGCCATGCAGAATGCCATGCAGAATGCCATGCAGAATGCCATGGAGACAGCGGGGGTGAGTGAGCGCTCGGACGAGCGCAGGCAGGCTGCAGCAGAGCATGCGCGCGTGGAAGGGAGGAGAGGGGAGGACGGGGGTGAAGGGATGTCATAGGAGGAAAGGAAATGGCTGAAGGGCAAGCAGCGGGACGGGCAACGGTGGGGCAACGATGGTGATTGGTGGGAGGAGGGGATGGAGGGTCAATGAAAGCAGGAGAGAATCACGCAACCTGGGTGCCGCGCCTTGTTCCCCCTCTGCTGGCAGGCACTGCCCTCCTCCCCCCTCTGCTGGCACTGCCCTCCTCCCACCCCAACTACCCGTGCCTCCCACCCCAACTACCCGTGCCTCCCACCCCAACTACCCGTGCCTCCCACCCCAACTACCCGTGCCTCCCACCCCAACTACCCGTGCCTCCCACCCGCCCAAGCGGCCCTGCCCCTCTTGCGCTCACCAGGGTGTCTCGCCAGGAGGGGAAGGCGGGCAGGCCCGCATTGGGGAGGAAGAGCAGGGAGGGGTAGTGGCAGGGGCGGCGCTGGGGGAGGGTGACTTGAGTGCTGAGCGCGTGGAGGGCGAGGGGGGGATGCTGGTCAGTGTGGCGGTGACGGGGTGCCTGCTGTGGTTGGTGCTGCCAGGTGGACAGAGGTGCGGCGCTGGAGGCAGGGCAGCTGGCGAGGGAGGGCAGCACGTGGTGGTACAGGCCCCGGTGGAAGTGCACAGCTATGGGCCCTGCTGTGCCCGCTGCTGTGGGCGCTGCTGTGGGCGCTGCTGTGGGCGCTGCTGTGGGCGCTGCTGTGGGCGCTGCTGTGGGCTCTGTGCGTGCAGCTGATGGGTTGGGAGAAATGCCTGGCGAGGGCTGGGGGAAGGGCTGGGCGCACTCGCTTTGACCGCACATGCTACCAGTGCGCTTTTCTCTCTGACCTGCGTTCACAGAAACGCCTTGCATGAGAGATTGCTCTGCCTGCCGTCGCTTGGTACGTTGTGGGTCGGCAGGTTGTGGATCGGCAGGTTGTGGCTCAGTCGGTTGTGGTTCAGCAAGTGGTGGCTCGGTCGGCTCAAAGACAGGAGGGTGGTGAAGCAGGACGCACTTGTTGTGCCTGGCGAAGCAGGGGAGAGGAGAAGCGGAGAAGAGGAGAAGAGACAAGGGAGCATGCGGTAAGGATGGCCCCTGTGGGGCACCAAGGGATATGCAACAAGAAACGAGGGCTGTGCTGAACCTGCTGCTATGGCTGCCTGCCTCTAAGGCAAGGCTGCCTGCGCGTGTTCGTACACCAGCAGAGCTAGGGGGACTTCATCCCTTGCAGCCCATTTGAATGCAGCACACGCTTGCCAGCCACCCCCTCAAAGTCTCTCCTGAGATTTCCAACATCCACGTCTCACAAGTGTGCTGGAATGCTGGGGCCAATGAGGTGGAGACACGTGTCCACTGCTGGCAGCAGTAGGCGCAGCTCAGCCAATGATGCGGCCTCTGATGCCTCCCTGTCCGCGCCTGCAGGTGGAAATGCGTGGGGAGGGATACGGCAAGAGGGAGGTGTGCGGCGGTGCAGTCGGGAGGGCAGGGCAAGAGAGGGGGGGTTCTGAAGGAACGTCTTTTGAGGCGCCTCAAAAGAGGGGGTTGTGAAGGAACGTCAGCCCAGTCTGGTGCACACCTGTGCGCCCATGGAGGTGCAGCAGCGAGAGGCGCGGGCAAAACGTGTGGGAGGGCAGCTGGTGCGAAAGGGGAGGTGAAAGGAACTGGAGGAGATAGGTGGGATGGTAGATGGCGATTGGGAACTAGTGGGATAGACACAGAGAGAAAAGCAGTGATTGGCACACCTAGAACATGGATGCACACGGAGAGCTGATTGCCAGACCCGCACTCCTGGCCTTGATGCTGCTCATGCTGCTCATGCTGCTGCTGCTGCCTTGCTGCATGTGCGCCCTGCTCCGCCCCCTCTCTCCGCCCCCTCCCACATGCAGCGCCTGAAGGGCTGTCCGCCCCTGAGGGGGTGCGCCCCACGCCATCAGCCATGGCAGCAAGTGGAGGAGGGAGGGCGGGAGGAGGCGGAGGGGCGGGTTGGAGGAGGGAGTGCAGGGCGGCGACGATGCTGAGGGGCTGGTGGGGAAGAGACGGAGGGGCGTTGGTGGGGTGGTGAGCAGCTGGAAAGAGGGCGAAAGGTTAGGAAGCCACCCATTTGAGAGCTTAAGAGGGTTGAAAAAAAAACTCTTCTATTGCAGACGATGGGATTTGACACGTGCCCATCAGTTGCATGTGGTGCACGGGGTCGCAGCAGCCATACCCCATACACCCCGTGGCCTCCCACACAGTGTGCAGCAGCCATACCCCCCATACACACAGTGTGCAGCAGCCATACCCCCCATACACACAGTGTGCAGCAGCAGCGCTGCAGGCGACTCCAGGGGAAGGCGCCTCCACAGGTAGTAGTGGCGCCAGGAGAGAGGCGCGAAGGGGAGAGGGGGAAGGGAGGCGGGCTGTGTGGTGCGGAAAGAGGTTGGGGTGGGGCGGTCAGACGGGGCGCAAGGGGCGTGTGGCGGAGTTCGTCTCTCCTCCACGGCTGGTGGCAGCTCACGCAAGGCTGAGCAGTCTGCCAAGGCCGGATGGGAGGAGAGAAGAATGGAAGGAAGCTCGTGGTGGCGACTAGAGGACTGGATTGGGTAAGACATTTGGCTGAGGAGGAGCAAATGTTTGTTTGGAAGCAATGATTCGTGAAGATAACTACCATGTTCTGATACCAAACAAAGGAACAAGTGGATATGCCGTTCTCTCTATCTTTTCCCCCACTCTCTGCCCGCGTTTTACCGGAAAGCCAAGGAAGAGGAGGAACGAACGGACAGGAATAAAATGTTGCAGAGTGGAGCAAGACGAACAGTTAAAAGCGGGGAGGAGGTGACGTCTTACAGACCGCAGAGGGCTGCGTATGCACCCCACGCGTGCAGGTGGCGAGAGGCGAGGAAGGAGCACATGGTGTGCTGCCCTTGCTCCACCTGCGAGAGACGGGCATGAGTGGGGAAGGTGAGGGAGGCGTATGGACCCACCCCAGGCATGCAGGGGGCGGGATGCGAGGATCAGCTGCTCTTGCACGGCGGGGAACACCATCAGCCGCATGAGTGACTTTTGAGACGACTCAAAAGCCACCGACGGATATTGAATGTCACACGAGACATTTGAAGATCGGCGTGCTACAATCATGTGGAAGCTTCCGAAGCCTACAGGAGATATTTTAGTTTCAGCTAGAAAGTGTTAGGTGTAGCTACACTTATTTCACTTTCTCTAGCCTAGAGGTTCGGACTCCGAGAATTCCCTCGAGCCGCATTTTGGGCTTGGGAGGTTCACGAGCTCCTGCCTATTTAGCCTTGCTCATTTGCTCTTTTGTGTATGGTCTGATGAAGGCAGCCACCTGCCGAAACTAGTTACCATCACTTTTGCCCTACAAATTCACAAGAGTTTTTTCTGAGCAAGAATGTTTCTAAAAACAACAGTGTTTTACAGCCCGCTGCCACGTATGGCTAAAACCACCACCAAGTGCTGTTCTCTGAGGGGAACAACATCAGCAGCATGAGCCACATGAGCAGCATGAGCAGCATGAGCAGCATGAGCCGCATGAGCCGCATGAGCAGCATGAGCAGCATGAGCAGCATGAGCCGCATGAGCAGCATGAGCAGCATGAGCCGCATGAGCCGCATGAGCAGCATGAGCAGCATGAGCAGCATGAGCAGCATGAGCCGCATGAGCCGCATGAGCAGCATGAGCAGCATGAGCCGCATGAGCCGCATGAGCAGCATGAGCCGCATGAGCCGCATGAGCCGCATGAGCAGCATGAGCAGCATGAGCAGCATGAGCCGCATGAGCCGCATGAACAGCATGAGCCGCATGAGCCGCATGAGCAGCATGAGCCGCATGAGCAGCATGAGCAGCATGAGCAGCATGAGCAGCATGAGCAGCATGAGCCGCATGAGCCGCATGAGCAGCATGAGCCGCATGAGCCGCATGAGCCGCATGAGCAGCATGAGCAGCATGAGCAGCATGAGCCGCATGAGCCGCATGAGCAGCATGAGCCGCATGAGCAGCATGAGCAGCATGAGCAGCATGAGCAGCATGAGCAGCATGAGCAGCATGAGCAGCATGAGCAGCATGAGCAGCATGAGCAGCATGAGCAGCATGAGCCGCATGAGCCGCATGAGCAGCATAAGCCGCATGAGCAGCATGAGCAGCATGAGCAGCATGAGCAGCATGAGCAGCATGAGCAGCATGAGCAGCATGAGCAGCATGAGCAGCATGAGCCGCATGAGCCGCATGAGCAGCATGAGCCGCATGAGCAGCATGAGCAGCATGAGCAGCATGAGCAGCATGAGCAGCACTAAGTTGGTTCCTTACGTTACGTTTACGTACGTGTACGTTTACGATTACGTACGTTTACGCGATTCTGGTTTTAGGCCTGTATGTACGGGCAGGCTAAAATTTTCTACCTGCCCAGAAAAAAAAAGAGAGGAGGGAACCCTAGGCAGATTTTTGTACAGAATTCCATTGGCCATTAAGTCTTTTCGTAGGAAGATAGAAAACATCCACAAAATACCAAGTTTCCAACAGGTGCTACGCTTATAGCATGCAAACTTGCAGATGCTACCTTCACTCATCCATGCTAGGCTCGTCGTCAACGGGAGTGTCCACATACGCATCATCAGGGATGTCGTTATCATCATCGAGGGGCTCATAGCCATCCTTTGGCTCCTCCCGAATCACTGGAAGTGCCGAAACCATCATTTTCTTGGAGAAGTCGTCATTAAGCTTCTTCACCGTGTGGTAGTTGTGGCTTATGTAAACCAAATCCGCAAGACGCTTGGGGCCGAGTCGGTTGCGGCGTGCGGTGTGGATAGACTCCCACACACCCCAGTTCGTCTCGCATGTCGATGCCGACACGCACTGCTTGAGTACCCTGCACGCCAGCTTCGCCAGGTTGGGGCAATCGGAGCCATTCATAATCCACCACTGCACGGGGTCCAAGTGACCCTCCTTGATAAGGATGTGTTCGTCCTTAGCCTTCTGCTCTCCGATTTCCCCCTTCCCTTTGATGTACGTCAACACCTCGCCCTCGACGATCGTGGCCATTGGTTTAATGACATTCCCGACCTTCATAGTCTCTCCCTTGTAGTAGTCGCGCACAAACCGCTTAAAGATTGCGGTGCACTCCTTGTCGTCGTGTCCAAAAATTTTCTCGTATTGGTTGGGTGGATAGAGAATGCGCCCCACCACGTGAAGCGGGCAATTGATGTCATTATTCCACCTATTCCGCACGATCTCCGCAACCTCCTCCTTCTCGACGCTCTCCAAATCCGCGCACGCCCTATCCACCTGCTCCTCCAAATCGATCATCATTTCGTACATTTTGCCCATGACCTCTTGATTCCCGTCGACTTTCCTCAGCGTCATGTAGACCGGCTTGAGAACGGCAACTACTAGCTCAACGCCCTTCCAGAATCCTTTCCGCTGCACCGTGTCGCGTGCGTCCTTCATTTTGGGCCTCCCCTTCGTGTAATCATCGAACCCCTTGGTCTTCATCATCGCCTCCAACGTGTCACGCACCGAAACCAGACGCTCAAGGGCGATGTAGTTAGTCCCAAACCGCGTGCCTGCAGGCTTCAGCACCTTCAGCGAATCCTTTTCCCGAAAGTAGCCCGTGATCCACTGCCCGTTCTTCAATGTCGAAATGAGTTGCTGCGCCTCGTCGATGGTCGGTTTGGCCCAGTCGAGCCCGCCGATGTCCTTCATAAGGAGGCTAAGCGAGTGTGCGGCACAACGAATCCACTGCACCTTCGGATATTCCTCCTTGACCAGGCTGGCAGCGTTGATGTTCGCGCTCGCACCATCCATCAGCACTCCGACGACATTTTCCGCGCCGACCTCCTCAATCGCATTTTTCAAGTGCCCGGCGATGTAATCAGCTCCTTTCTTCTCCGTGCCGCAATCAACGCCAAACAAGAAGACCGACGCGTTGGAGTTGACGGCCAAAATGTTGAGCTGAGGACGACCTTCCCCGTCCGTCCATCCGTCGCACGCGATGCTCACTCCAATGTCGTCCCAGGACTCTTTCACATCCTTGAGCGCATTCTCCGTCTTCGTCTTGCACTCCTCAAGAAGGCGGCCCATGATGAGCCGACGCCCGGGGGGGGTGAAACCAGTGCCAGCAGCCGCCACCTTCTTCAACATGGTTTTGAAGACCTCGTGTTCAGCCACGTGTGGCGGGATGCGACAAACATGGAAGAACGTCGCAATCGCCAATTGTGCGTTCGCAGCGTCCACCGGCTTGGGACGCCCATCCGTGAGTGTCATCTGCGTCGCTTGCCGCTTTCGCGCGCAACCACTGCTCTCCGACATGTTGCTGCCCGTGTGGCTGGTTGGAGTATGCGTGAACGCATTCATTGTCCTGTGAGTCGCTTTCTTCTTCTCCTCGTCGTCACTCTTCTTCTTTGCCAAGGTAGCCCTAACAGCCTCCTTCGCCTCGAAAGTAGCTGAGGGGCACGCTCTCACGCCGCTATTAGGGGTTCCAAGAATATGGTTCTGCGCTCGGACCACGTTGAATTTCCAAGTGCCGTTGCAAAAAGTGCATTGCTTCTCCAAAGTAGAGTCAGATTTTCCCCCTTCGGGAACCTTGAAGAATTTCCAAACAAAATGGTCAACGGAGTTTGCCATTGCAGCAGAAGTACAATGCAGTTTTTACTTGGAAATTTGAGTAAGAGCAATTGCTGTTTGGAGCTGTGTGGATTTGTGGAAATCAGGCGTAGTTAAGTACCTCTTTGAATTCGTTGTGCCGCGAACCAGTTTTGCGGAAATCACGCCGTAGGAAATTGTTAGGAACGCGTAAACGTGTTTCTGATTGTTTGGGATTGGTTGGCTTGCTGGCTGCACTTTCGTCGCAAGCCACAATCGCCAACTTCTGCCGGTGCGTCGAAAGTCACATTTAGGTGCGACGAAATTTACAATCTGTTGACTGGTTGGCGAAATTACCGCGTGCGCGAAATCTCGTCCCGCTGCTTGACGCGCCGGCAATCCAACCAGTTGACGGATTTGTGCGCGTCAAATCTGACGTGCTCGTACTCCAACCAGTCAACGTCAACCCCTACCTAACCCAACCCAACCCTCCTCGACATTCAATTCCCCTTCCCTCCTCGACGGATGTCAGTCGCTACCCTATCTCCAGCAGCAACTAAGTTAAGTCTAAGTCGCATCCTAGGATATTAGCGCGCCTTCGACCAGCGCGACGAATCTACGTGCGCCATAGTTCATGGCGGGGTAGATCTGCCCGAACCGTGGGCAGCGATAATCTCGGCGTAGTTGCAAATCGCGTACTTCTAGAACGCGGTTTTTGGAGGGAAAAAAATTGCCCGGGAAAAAATTTCAGGGCCTGCCCGGCGACGTAAACGTAACGTACGCGTAACGTAACGTAAACGTAACGTTACGCGTACTGTACGTTTACGTCACCTAAAGTGACGTAAAGTACCAACTTAGGAGCAGCATGAGCAGCATGAGCCGCATGAGCCGCATGAGCAGCATGAGCAGCATGAGCAGCATGAGCAGCATGAGCAGCATGAGCAGCGGCACCTGGATGACGGAGGCATGCAGGAACGGGAAGGGCAGGTCCAGCACAAGTGGCGCCTGCTGCAGCTGCCGGGCGAAGCGAGAGCACTCCCCCCACTGCTGGTGCTGCTGCCAGTGCGCCAGCTGCGGGCATGCATTGAGTGGATGGCATGGGATTGGGTATGGGGCATGGGGCATGGGATGGGGTGTGGGGCATGGGGTATGGGGTATGGGGCATGGGGCATGGGGTATGGGGTATGGGGCATGGGGCATGGGGCATGGGGCATGGGGTATGGGATATGGGGCATGGGGCATGGGGTGCGGGGCATGGGGCATGGGTCATAGGGGATGGGAAGGAGAACAACATAGAAGGAGTAAGAGTTAACGCACATGGGGTGGAATTGAGATGCGCAGGCAAGTTCAGGGCACGGCAGCGCACAGCCAGTTCTTCGCTGCAGCCCACCCTGACGCTTAATGGCTACAAGTTCAGGGCACGGCAGCGCACAGTGGGGGCGGAGAGGCGGGAGGCAAGGGAGATGCACGGCTGGCGCGGATGGCGGTGCGAGCGGGCCGTGGGGGCGCCGGGGCAATGAATGGTGAGGCCGTGGGGGCGCCGGGGCAATGAATGGTGAGGCCGTGGGGGCGCCGGGGCAATGAATGGTGAGGCCGTGGGGGCGCAGGGGCAATGAATGGTGAGGCCGTGGGGGCGCCGGGGCAATGAATGGTGAGGCTGTGGGGGCGCCGGGGCAATGAATGGTGAGGCCGTGGGGGCGCCGGGGCAATGAATGGTGAGGCCGTGGGGGCGCAGGGGCAATGAATGGTGAGGCCGTGGGGGCGCAGGGGCAATGAATGGTGAGGCCGTGGGGGCGCCGGGGCAATGAATGGTGAGGCCGTGGGGGCGGGGGGGGGCCGGCGGGGCAATGAATGGTGAGGCCGTGGGGCGCCGGGGCAATGAATGGTGAGGCCGTGGGGGCGCAGGGGCAATGAATGGTGAGGCCGTGGGGGCGCGGGGCAATGAATGGTGAGGCCGTGGGGGCGCGGGGCAATGAATGGTGAGGCCGTGGGGGCGCCGGGGCAATGAATGGTGAGGCCGTGGGGGCGCAGGGGCAATGAATGGTGAGGCCGTGGGGGCGCCGGGGCAATGAATGGTGAGGCCGTGGGGGCGCCGGGGCAATGAATGGTGAGGCCGTGGGGGCGCCGGGGCAATGAATGGTGAGGCCGTGGGGGCGCCGGGGCAATGAATGGTGAGGCCGTGGGGGCGCCGGGGCAATGAATGGTGAGGCCGTGGGGGCGCCGGGGCAATGAATGGTGAGGCCGTGGGGGCGCCGGGGCAATGAAGGCCATGGTGAGCCCCCACGGCCTCTTCCCTCTTCCCTCTTCCCTCTTCCCGCTTCCCTCTTCCCTCTTCCTCTTCCCTCTTCCCTCTTCCCTCTTCCCTCTTCCCTCTTCCCTCTTCCCTCCTCTTCCCTCCTCTTCCCTCCTCTTCCCTCCTCTTCCCTCCTCTTCCCTCCTCTTCCCTCCTCTTCCCTCTTCCCTCTTCCCTCTTCCCTCTTCCCTCTACCCGCTGTGCGCCCCTGCATGAAGGCGCATGCTCCTGCGACGACCTTCGGGCTATAAGCGGGTCAAGCGGGTCAAGCGGCCTAGTGGCGGTGGTTGTGGGAGACGAAAGCGGTTGGCAGAACGTGCGAGAGCATGGGAGCAAAATGGTCGCTGCGGCCATGGGCACTCGTCGCTGTCTCCCTGCCTCTCCTCTACTCCCCATCGGCGGCGGGCATCCCCGCATATCGCTGCACCTCGCGCTACGCCTCCTGCTGTTACCGGACGCACCTGGTGTCGCCTGCTACAGTAAATGACGACGCCGCACTCGCCGCAGCGAACGCGCCCATCGCACGGCGACGCGCACACGTGGCACTGCCACGTCATCGCGACGCCGAACCCAACCGCGATAGCGCAGCGCTAGGCGCGCGCGCTTGCAGCGCGTCCTGAGCAGGCGTCCGTAGGGATGGCGAGGGCCCGGACCAACCTACGTCCCCGAATTCCACACGAACTCGCTTCTCCGGCTTTCAATCGCTCACGACGAAGCCCCTCCGATGGACCTCGACGACCGGCGGGCGACGTCGTCGCCTGCTGGCGCTTGCCGTCAGTCGCACAATGCGACGCGCGACGAAGGAGCCCCGCGACGAAACCCCCCCACTCCCATCCGACGCCCACGTGATTCAAAATGGGGTGACCGCATACCCGCTAAAGCCATATTTGCACTTCTTGCTGAGTTCACCGTCATAATATACAAAGCTACTATTTGTACCCGAAACCCAAATGAGTACCCGAGTATCTTTACCCAAATGGAGAAACTGTACCAACGACAATTGCGTGTGTCTCAAGTATCCCAAATCTGAACGCGCCAACCAAAGCGGTGGCCCGCATCTGCGCAGCTGCGCGCATTCCACACCGTCACGGGGCGCTCCGGTCAGACGGGTGTGTCTATGTCAAGTAAGGCAGCGCACTCGAAGAACATGAAATCCGCGCACGAGCAAAGCGAATCACGCATGTGAGTCGCTCTTTCGGGAGCACTGAGGCACGAAGCGCGCGCATGTCATTCCCAGCGCGCACGAGCCGCCACGCACACATCAGAGCGCGCGGCGAGGGGTGGTTGCGCATTTGAGGCTCTCTTTTGGGAGCCGTTGCACGGCAGTCACAGCGGAGGGCAGCCGCGCCCCTCGTCCGATGACACATCACAGCGCCTCCAGCTGCTCCTAGTCCATCCACGCCGCGCCGCGCATCGCAGGCCGCGATGGACGCTGCGGCGGAACGCGGGGAGCTCAGCGACGCGGTGCCACCGCTGCAGCACCTGTGCCTGCGAGCCGCCCTCAGCAGCGCCACGTGGCAGCGCCAGCCGCGGTCGCTCGAGCGGCTGCCGTCTCCGCTGGCCTCCGCGCTGTTGGCGGGGCTGCTCGCTGCGGGCCACATGACGCCGCCGCTGCTAGAGTACGCTTGTGGGGGATTGGGGCTGGGCCGGGCTGCTTGTGGGTTGCTCGCCTTGGTGCGGCTGCTCGCGGCCGGGCGCATGACGCCGCCGCTGCTCGAGTAGGCTTCCCGGCTGCTACGCTGCTAAGCTGCTACGCTGCTACGCTGCTACGCTGCTACGCTGCTAAGCTGCTACGCTGCTAAGCTGCTACGCTGCTAAGCTGCTACGCTGCTACGCTGCTAAGCTGCTACGCTGCTGCCACTCTGACCCCGCACGACGCGTGCTCGCTCTCGCCCTCGCTCCTTGCTCCCCCCGCACCGTCAAGAGCCGCCCTCCTCGCCCTCGTCGCCCATTCATCTCCTCTCCTCGTCGCCCATTCATCTCCTCTCCTCGTCGCCCATTCATCTCCTCTCCTCGTCGCCCATTCATCTCCTCTCCTCGTCGCCCATTCATCTCCTCTCCTCGTCGCCCATTCATCTCCTCTCCTCGTCGCCCATTCATCTCCTCTCCTCGTCGCCCATTCATCTCCTCTCCTCGTCGCCCATTCATCTCCTCTCCTCGTCGCCCATTCATCTCCTCTCCTCGTCGCCCATTCATCTCCTCTCCTCGTCGCCCATTCATCTCCTCTCCTCGTCGCCCATTCATCTCCTCTCCTCGTCGCCCATTCATTCCTCTCCTCGTCGCCCATTCATCCTCTCCTCGTCGCCCATTCATCTCCTCTCCTCGTCGCCCATTCATCTCCTCTCCTCGTCGCCCATTCATCTCCTCTCCTCGTCGCCCATTCATCTCCTCTCCTCGTATCATCTCTTCCTCGTCGCCCATTCATCTCCTCTCCTCGTCGCCCATTCATCTCCTCTCCTCGTCGCCCATTCATCTCCTCTCCTCGTCGCCCATTCATCTCCCCCCCCTCCTCTCCTCGTCGCCCATTCATCCTCTCCTCGTCGCCCATTCATCTCCTCTCCTCGTCGCCCATTCATCTCCTCTCCTCGTCGCCCATTCATCTCCTCTCCTCGTCGCCCATTCATCTCCTCTCCTCGTCGCCCATTCATCTCCTCTCCTCGTCGCCCATTCATCTCCTCTCCTCGTCGCCCATTCATCTCCTCTCCTCGTCGCCCATTCATCTCCTCTCCTCGTCGCCCATTCATCTCCTCTCCTCGTCGCCCATTCATCTCCTCTCCTCGTCGCCCATTCATCTCCTCTCCTCGTCGCCCATTCATCTCCTCTCCTCGTCGCCCATTCATCTCCTCTCCTCGTCGCCCATTCATCTCCTCTCCTCGTCGCCCATTCATCTCCTCTCCTCGTCGCCCATTCATCTCCTCTCCTCGTCGCCCATTCATCCCTCCCTCGTCGCCCATTCATCTCCTCTCCTCGTCGCCCATTCATCTCCTCTCCTCGTCGCCCATTCATCTCCTCTCCTCGTCGCCCATCATCTCCTCTCCTCGTCGCCCATTCATCTCCTCTCCTCGTCGCCCATTCATCTCCTCTCCTCGTCGCCCATTCATCTCCTCTCCTCGTCGCCCATTCATCTCCTCTCCTCGTCGCCCATTCATCTCCTCTCCTCGTCGCCCATTCATCTCCTCTCCTCGTCGCCCATTCATCTCCTCTCCTCGTCGCCCATTCATCTCCTCTCCTCGTCGCCCATTCATCTCCTCTCCTCGTCGCCCATTCATCTCCTCTCCTCGTCGCCCATTCATCTCCTCTCCTCGTCGCCCATTCATCTCCTCTCCTCGTCGCCCATTCATCTCCTCTCCTCGTCGCCCATTCATCTCCTCTCCTCGTCGCCCATTCATCTCCTCTCCTCGTCGCCCATTCATCTCCTCTCCTCGTCGCCCATTCATCTCTCTCGTCGCCCATTCATCTCCTCTCCTCGTCGCCCATTCATCTCCTCTCCTCGTCGCCCATTCATCTCCTCTCCTCGTCGCCCATTCATCTCCTCTCCTCGTCGCCCATTCATCTCCTCTCCTCGTCGCCCATTCATCTCCTCTCCTCGTCGCCCATTCATCTCCTCTCCTCGTCGCCCATTCATCTCCTCTCCTCGTCGCCCATTCATCTCCTCTCCTCGTCGCCCATTCATCTCCTCTCCTCGTCGCCCATTCATCTCCTCTCCTCGTCGCCCATCATCTCCTCTCCTCGTCGCCCATTCATCTCCTCTCCTCGTCGCCCATTCATCTCCTCTCCTCGTCGCCCATTCATCTCCTCTCCTCGTCGCCCATTCATCTCCTCTCCTCGTCGCCCATTCATCTCCTCTCCTCGTCGCCCATTCATCTCCTCTCCTCGTCGCCCATTCATCTCCTCTCCTCGTCGCCCATTCATCTCCTCTCCTCGTCGCCCATTCATCTCCTCTCCTCGTCGCCCATTCATCTCCTCTCCTCGTCGCCCATTCATCTCCTCTCCTCGTCGCCCATTCATCTCCTCTCCTCGTCGCCCATTCATCCTCTCCTCGCGCCCATTCATCTCCTCTCCTCGTCGCCCATTCATCTCCTCTCCTCGTCGCCCATTCATCTCCTCTCCTCGTCGCCCATTATCTCCTCTCCCGTCGCCCATTCATCTCCTCTCCTCGTCGCCCATTCATCTCCTCTCCTCGTCGCCCATTCATCTCCTCTCCTCGTCGCCCATTCATCTCCTCTCCTCGTCGCCCATTCATCTCCTCTCCTCGTCGCCCATTCATCTCCTCTCCTCGTCGCCCATTCATCTCCTCTCCTCGTCGCCCCATTCATCTCCTCTCCTCGTCGCCCATTCATCTCCTCTCCTCGTCGCCCATTCATCCCTCTCCTCGTCGCCCATTCATCTCCTCTCCTCGTCGCCCATTCATCTCCTCTCCTCGTCGCCCATTCATCTCCTCTCCTCGTCGGCCCATTCATCTCCTCTCCTCGTCGCCCATTCATCTCCTCTCCTCGTCGCCCATTCATCTCCTCTCCTCGTCGCCCATTCATCTCCTCTCCTCGTCGCCCATTCATCTCCCTCTCCTCGTCGCCCATTCATCTCCTCTCCTCGTCGCCCATTCATCTCCTCTCCTCGTCGCCCATTCATCTCCTCTCCTCGTCGCCCATTCATCTCCTCTCCTCGTCGCCCATTTCATCTCCCTCTCCTCGTCGCCCATTCATCTCCTCTCCCTCGTCGCCCATTCATCTCCTCTCCTCGTCGCCCATTCATCTCCTCTCCTCGTCGCCCATTCATCTCCTCTCCTCGTCGCCCATTCATCTCCTCTCCTCGTCGCCCATTCATCTCCTCTCCTCGTCGCCCATTCATCTCCTCTCCTCGTCGCCCATTCATCTCCTCTCCTCGTCGCCCATTCATCTCCTCTCCTCGTCGCCCATTCATCCTCTCCTCGTCGCCCATTCATCTCCTCTCCTCGTCGCCCATTCATCCTCTCCTCGTCGCCCATTCATCTCCTCTCCTCGTCGCCCATTCATCCTCTCCTCGTCGCCCATTCATCCTCTCCTCGTCGCCGCCCCTCGTCTCTCTCCTCGCCCCTCCTCAGGCTCTTCGCCCCTTCAGCGGACCACGTCGACCTCTCCTGCCCGCCCCTCGCCGCCTCTCCCTCTTCGCACGCCCTATCGCCACACTCTCCCCTGCACGACTCGCCTCTCGCACCCGCTCTCACCCCCCTCCCCAACCCTGCTTCTCCCTACCTTCCCTCACCAAGCCCTCTTCTCTCCTCCTCCCATCCTTTCTCCCCGCCTCCCTCTGCTGCTGTCACCCTCTCGCCTCCTCTCTACGCCCTGCCCCCCGGCCAATCCATAGACACCACGTGGCTTGCCTACCTGGCAGATTTCTGCTGCCTTCGCTCCCTCCGCCTCGACAACTGTCGCCTCGTCAACGACTCGGCTCTCAGCATGCTTTCGGGTATGAAGCAGGTGTCCATGCCCTCAGGTGTCCATGCCCTCAGGTGTCCATGCCCTCAGGTGTGCTTCACTGCGCACCGCACGCCCGTGCACAGGGCATGGCTCTCCGTCCTTTCCAGGCACTCGGATAAGGAAAGCGCGGCGGGCTGTATCTCCCCGCTCAACGCTTTGCCCCTTAGATTCTGCTTACAATCCATGCCATGCCATGCCATACCATGGCCCATGCCTTCTGGCATGCTGCTTGAGCTGCCCTGCACCGAAAGATGACTTTTGCTTCGACTCAAAAGTTACCCCTTGGATCTCAAAAGTTACCCCTTGGATCTCATATGGCATTTCACGCACTGGTCCGTGGCGCGGTGACATGCGCCATCACTCATCACTCATCACTCATCACTCATCACTCTCCACTCATCACTCATCACTCTCCACTCATCACTCTCCACTCATCACTCTCCATGATTTCATCCCTCGTGGACCTCGCTGTCTGCTCTCCTCCCTTCATCGCCCCCCTTCCATCTCGCCGCATCTGCTTTCATTGCCCGGCCCTCTGCTCTCCTCCGTCGCCCCCACTCGCCTGTCTCCGCCACTCGCCTGTCTCCGCCACTCGCTGCACTCGACTGCCATCTCCACACGCCCTTGCACATCTCCCGCCCTCCCCCCCCTCCGCCGTGCCCCCACTCCTCGCTCGCTACCTTGGCCCGTCGCAGCAACACGCATTGCCCCCCTCTGGTCACACCAGCTGCCCTCCCCTCATGACCACCCCTCTGCTCTCCTCTTCTGCCACTGCAATCCCCTTACCCCCTCCCAATTTCCCCCACCCCCCTCTCCAGCTCTGCACGGCTTGGATCATTTGGGCTCCACCAACTGCCCTCTCCTCACCAACTGCCCTCTCCTCACCAGCTGCCCTCTCCTCACCAGCTGCCCTCTCCTCACCAACTGCCCTCTCCTCACCGCTGCTTCTCTCACCTCCCTCTGTTCTCTCAACTTCCCAATCCCCCTTTTTTTTGCTTCCCTCCATCCCCCCAGCCCTGCACGGCTTGGAGCATCTGAGTCTCACCGACTGCCCTCTCCTCACTGCCGCTAGTCTGGCATCCATTCTGCCGCCCTGCCTGCCCTCCCTCCGCGCCTGCTGCCTGTCAGGCACGGCTGTGGGCGTGGGGGAGGGCGGGGGGGAAGGGGGGGTTGCAGGAGGGGGCAGTGAGCAGTGGGGTGTTGCAGTGAAGGGCAGGCGCAGAAGCAAGGGCAGCAGGGCCGGTAGCAGTGCTGCCAGTGGTGGCGGCATGGCAGCAGCAGGTGCTCCCTCCAATGCGGCACCCACCGCTGCTGCAGATGGCGTGCCCGCCGTGCCCTCATCCCCGTCCGTCATCTCGCTGCTCGCCCGCGCCCCGCACCTCACGCACCTGGAGCTGGGCGGCATGCACCATGCGCTGGATGACAGTGCCTTTAGAAAGCTCACGGTGAGTGGCAATGCCCCACGTGCCATGTGCCATGTGCCATGCGCCATGCGCCAAGTGCCATGTGCCATGCGCCATGTGCCATGCGCCATGCGCCATGTGCCACTAGACATGATCAAAACGCGATTGCGATTTAAATCGCATCGCATGCAGGTGCGATGTTTAAAAAAGCGATGCGATTTTAAATCGCATCGCGCGATTTATTTTTCAAAAAAAAAAAAAAACGCACATCGTATTTTACCCGCGATGTATTAAAAAATCGCATGCGATATTTAATTAAATCGCGCAATGCGATTTTAAATCGCATCGCGTTTTAAAACAGAATTGAAAAACACCCCCAAAAAACAGAAAAAAACCATGGCTGCGGGGAAATTGACTCATGGGCAGTCGTAAGCTAGAGTGCAAATAACCAGTGTGGTTTCGTAGTGGGTTTCAGTGCAATATCGCGCGCGATTTTTTAAAAATCGCATATCGCATTTAAATCGCGTTTTTTAAGCGCGATTAAAATGCGATTTAAATTAAATCGCGCGATATTAATTCATGGCATCAAGCGATGATTAAAAAAAAAAAAAAACATCGCCATCGCAAAAACGCGATTAAATGCGATGCGATGCGATTTTTTTTGCCCATGTCTATGTGCCACGCGCCATGTGCCATGCACCATGTGCCAAGCGCCATGTGCCATGCGCCATGTGCCATGCGCCATGTGCCATGCGCCATGTGTCATGCGCCATGTGCCATGCGCCATGTGCCATGCGCCATGCGCCATGCGCCATGTGCCACGAGCCATGTGCCATGCGCCACGCGCCATGCGCCATGTGCCATGTGCCATGCGCCATGTGCCATGCGCCATGTGCCATGCGCCATGTGCCATGCGCCATGCGCCATGCGCCATGCGCCATGTGCCATGCGCCATGTGCCATGCGCCATGTGCCAAGCGCCATGTGCCATGCGCCATGTGCCATGCGCCATGTGCCATGCGCCATGTGCCATGCGCCATGTGCCATGCGCCACGTGCCATGTGCCATGTGCCATGCGCCATGTGCCATGCACCATGTGCCATGCGCCATGTGCTATGCGCCATGCACCATGCGCCTTGAGCCATGCGCCTTGCGCCATGCGCCACGAGCCATGCGCCATGCGCCATGCGCCACACGCCATGCGCCACGCGCCCTGCGCCACGCGCCATGCGCCATGTGCCCTGCGCCACGCGCCATGCGCCATGGGCCATGCGCCATGCGCCATGCGCCATGGGCCATGCGCCATGGGCCATGCGCCATGCGCCATGCGTCATGCGCCATGCGCCATGCGCCATGTGCCATGCGCCATGTGCCATGCGCCATGTGCCATGCGCCATGTGCCATGTGCCATGCGCCATGCGCCATGCTCTGGATGGCGCTGCTCGTCTGAAGGTGACGGTGAGTTTTCTGCCGGTCCCTCCCTGTGCTGTGCTCCATGCCCCACACCTCACGCACCTGGAGCTGGGCGCCATGCACCATGCACCATGCAACATGCAACATGCACCATGCACCATGCAACATGCACCATGCCCCATGCAACATGCACCATGTCCCCTGCAACATGCACCTTGCCTCATGTCCCACGCACCATGCACCATGCAGCAAGGTCCCAGGCCTCATCCAATCTTCACCTGCGCTCTGCATTCCTCGTCCCCCACCCCCATGTCTCCATGCCCCATGTCCATTCCTCGTCCCCCACCCCCATGGCTCCGCCTCATGCCATCACCTCACCACGGGTGCTGGCGCCACTGCGGCTCTGCACTCACCCGGCTCTGCACTCTCTCTCCTCTCTCCTCCCTGCACCCAACCCACCATCGCTCCCTCTCTGCCTCTCATCCAGTCTCTGTCATGCATCTCAGTCTCTTTGTCAAATGTGCCATCTCAGTCTCTTTGTCAAATGTGCCATCTCAGTCTCTTTTCTTGCCATCTCAGTCTCTTTGTCAAATGTGCCATCTCAGTCTCTTTGTCAAATGTGCCATCTCAGTCTCTTTGTCAAATGTGCCATCTCAGTCTCTTTGTCAAATGTGCCATCTCAGTCTCTTTGTCAAATGTGCCATCTCAGTCTCTTTGTCAAATGTGCCATCTCAGTCTCTTTGTCAAATGTGCCATCTCAGTCTCTTTGTCATATGTGCCATCTCAGTCTCTTTGTCAAATGTGCCATCTCAGTCTCTTTGTCCAATGTGCCATCTCAGTCTCTTTGTCAAATGTGCCATCTCAGTCTCTTTGTCAAATGTGCCATCTCAGTCTCTTTGTCAAATGTGCCATCTCAGTCTCTTTGTCAAATGTGCCATCTCAGTCTCTTTGTCAAATGTGCCATCTCAGTCTCTTTGTCAAATGTGCCATCTCAGTCTCTTTGTCAAATGTGCCATCTCAGTCTCTTTGTCAAATGTGCCATCTCAGTCTCTTTGTCAAATGTGCCATCTCAGTCTCTTTGTCATATGTGCCATCTCAGTCTCTTTGTCAAATGTGCCATCTCAGTCTCTTTGTCAAATGTGCCATCTCAGTCTCTTTGTCATATGTGCCATCTCAGTCTCTTTGTCAAATGTGCCATCTCAGTCTCTTTGTCATATGTGCCATCTCAGTCTCTTTGTCAAATGTGCCATCTCAGTCTCTTTGTCAAATGTGCCATCTCAGTCTCTTTGTCATATGTGCCATCTCAGTCTCTTTGTCAAATGTGCCATCTCAGTCTCTTTGTCATATGTGCCATCTCAGTCTCTTTGTCAAATGTGCCATCTCAGTCTCTTTGTCAAATGTGCCATCTCAGTCTCTTTGTCATATGTGCCATCTCAGTCTCTTTGTCAAATGTGCCATCTCAGTCTCTTTGTCAAATGTGCCATCTCAGTCTCTTTGTCAAATGTGCCATCTCAGTCTCTTTGTCAAATGTGCCATCTCAGTCTCTTTGTCATATGTGCCATCTCAGTCTCTTTGTCAAATGTGCCATCTCAGTCTCTTTGTCAAATGTGCCATCTCAGTCTCTTTGTCAAATGTGCCATCTCAGTCTCTTTGTCAAATGTGCCATCTCAGTCTCTTTGTCAAATGTGCCATCTCAGTCTCTTTGTCATATGTGCCATCTCAGTCTCTTTGTCAAATGTGCCATCTCAGTCTCTTTGTCAAATGTGCCATCTCAGTCTCTTTGTCAAATGTGCCATCTCAGTCTCTTTGTCAAATGTGCCATCTCAGTCTCTTTGTCAAATGTGCCATCTCAGTCTCTTTGTCAAATGTGCCATCTCAGTCTCTTTGTCAAATGTGCCATCTCAGTCTCTTTGTCAAATGTGCCATCTCAGTCTCTTTGTCAAATGTGCCATCTCAGTCTCTTTGTCAAATGTGCCATCTCAGTCTCTTTGTCAAATGTGCCATCTCAGTCTCTTTGTCAAATGTGCCATCTCAGTCTCTTTGTCAAATGTGCCATCTCAGTCTCTTTGTCAAATGTGCCATCTCAGTCTCTTTGTCATATGTGCCATCTCAGTCTCTTTGTCAAATGTGCCATCTCAGTCTCTTTGTCCAATGTGCCATCTCAGTCTCTTTGTCAAATGTGCCATCTCAGTCTCTTTGTCAAATGTGCCATCTCAGTCTCTTTGTCAAATGTGCCATCTCAGTCTCTTTGTCAAATGTGCCATCTCAGTCTCTTTGTCAAATGTGCCATCTCAGTCTCTTTGTCAAATGTGCCATCTCAGTCTCTTTGTCAAATGTGCCATCTCAGTCTCTTTGTCAAATGTGCCATCTCAGTCTCTTTGTCAAATGTGCCATCTCAGTCTCTTTGTCATATGTGCCATCTCAGTCTCTTTGTCAAATGTGCCATCTCAGTCTCTTTGTCATATGTGCCATCTCAGTCTCTTTGTCAAATGTGCCATCTCAGTCTCTTTGTCATATGTGCCATCTCAGCATGTGAGCCGTGCCTCAAGCAGCCACCCATATTCGTTCCGCCCCGCCCCATACATCACCCCCATCCCTATCTTCTCTTCTCTCCCCTCCACTCCCCAGTCCCTCATCCACCTGCGCCACCTGGACATGTGGGGTAGCAGCATCACCGACGCCTCCGCCCCGCTCCTCCTCGCCTTCCCTCGCCTGCTCTCCGCCAACCTCTCCTGGACCGCCCTCTCCCATGTGCCCGCCCACCCCTCCCTCGCCTCCCTCCACCTTTCTCACTGCTCCCTCCTCTCCATCGGTTATCCCATTCCTTCCTCCTCTTCCTCTCCCTCCTCCTCATCTCCCTCCTCCTCTCAATCTGCCTCTCCATCCTCCTCCCCACTCACTCATCTCGTTCTCTCGGGGTCGTCCATCGCTCCGCCCTCCTCTCTCTTCCCGCCTCACCTCCTGGCCTCGATCACTCACCTCGACATCTCCCACTCACGTGGCGCCACTCCCCCTCCTCCTCCTTCCCACACCCCATCGCACCCCTCTCTCCCCCCGCCCCCTCACGGCCCCCCTTGCGGGCTGCTGTGGCTGCTGCCTGCCGTGTCCCTCACGCACCTGGACCTCGCCTCTGCCGCCATCTCAGACACGCTGCTGCTGCACCTCGCGCACTCCGTCCCTCACACCGTCCGTGCCTCCCTCTGCTCCATGCCTCCCTCTGCTCCATGCCTCCCTCTGCTCCATTCCTCCCTCTGCTCCATGCCTCCCTCTGCTCCATGCCTCCCTCTGCTCCATGCCTCCCTCTGCTCCATGTCTCCCTCTGCTCCATGTCTCCCTCTTCTCCATGCCTCCTCTGCTCCATGCCTCCCTCTGCTTCATGCCTCCCTCTGCTCCATTCCTCCCTCTGCTCCTTTCCTCCCTCTGCTCCATGTCTCCCTCTGCTCCATGCCTCCCTCTGCTCCATGCCTCCCTCTGCTCCATGCCTCCCTCTGCTCCATGCCTCCCTCTGCTCCATGCCTCCCTCTGTCCATGCCTCCCTCTGCTCCATGCCTCCCTCTGCTCCATGCCTCCCTCTGCTCCATGCCTCCCTCTGCTCCATGCCTCCCTCTGCTCCATGCCTCCCTCTGCTCCATGCCTCCCTCTGCTCCATGCCTCCCTCTGCTCCATGCCTCCCTCTGCTCCATGCCTCCCTCTGCTCCATGCCTCCCTCTGCTCCATTCCTCCCTCTGTTCCATGCCTCCCTCTGCTCCATGCCTCCCTCTGCTCCATGCCTCCCTCTGCTCCATGCCTCCCTCTGCTCCATGCCTCCCTCTGCTCCATGCCTCCCTCTGCTCCATGCCTCCCTCTGTTCCATGCCTCCCTCTGCTCCATGCCTCCCTCTGCTCCATGCCTCCCTCTGCTCCATGCCTCCCTCTGCTCCATGCCTCCCTCTGCTCCATGCCTCCCTCTGCTCCATGCCTCCCTCTGCTCCATGCCTCCCTCTGCTCCATGCCTCCCTCTGCTCCATGCCTCCCTCTGCTCCATGCCTCCCTCTGCTCCATTCCTCCCTCTGTTCCATGCCTCCCTCTGCTCCATGCCTCCCTCTGCTCCATGCCTCCCTCTGCTCCATGTCTCCCTCTGCTCCAGGTCTCCCTCTTCTCCATGCCTCCTCTGCTCCATGCCTCCCTCTGCTTCATGCCTCCCTCTGCTCCATTCCTCCCTCTGCTCCTTTCCTCCCTCTGCTCCATGTCTCCCTCTGCTCCATGCCTCCCTCTGCTCCATGCCTCCCTCTGCTCCATGCCTCCCTCTGCTCCATGCCTCCCTCTGCTCCATGCCTCCCTCTGTTCCATGCCTCCCTCTGCTCCATGCCTCCCTCTGCTCCATGCCTCCCTCTGCTCCATGCCTCCCTCTGCTCCATGCCTCCCTCTGCTCCATGCCTCCCTCTGCTCCATGCCTCCCTCTGCTCCATGCCTCCCTCTGCTCCATGCTTCCCTCTGCTCCATGCCTCCCTCTGCTCCATGCCTCCCTCTGCTCCATGCCTCCCTCTGCTCCATGCCTCCCTCTGCTCCATGCCTCCCTCTGCTCCATGCCTCCCTCTGCTCCATGCCTCCCTCTGCTCCATGCCTCTCTCTGCTCCTTGCCTCCCTCTGCTCCATGCCTCCCTCTGCTCCATGCCTCCCTCTGCTCCATGCCTCCCTCTGCTCCATGCCTCCCTCTGCTCCATGTCTCCCTCTGCTCCATGCCTCCCTCTGCTCCATGCCTCCCTCTGCTCCATGCCTCCCTCTGCTCCATGCCTCCCTCTGTTCCATGCCTCCCTCTGCTCCATGCCTCCCTCTGCTCCATGCCTCCCTCTGCTCCATGCCTCCCTCTGCTCCATGCCTCCCTCTGCTCCATGCCTCCCTCTGCTCCATGCCTCCCTCTGCTCCATGCCTCCCTCTGCTCCATGCCTCCCTCTGCTCCATGCCTCCCTCTGCTCCATGCCTCCCTCTGCTCCATGCCTCCCTCTGCTCCATGCCTCCCTCTGCTCCATTCCTCCCTCTGCTCCATGCCTCCCTCTGCTCCATGCCTCCCTCTGCTCCATGCCTCTCTCTGCTCCTTGCCTCCCTCTGCTCCATGCCTCCCTCTGCTCCATGCCTCCCTCTGCTCCATGCCTCCCTCTGCTCCATGCCTCCCTCTGCTCCATGCCTCCCTCTGCTCCATGCCCCCCTCTGCTCCATGCCTCCCTCTGCTCCATGCCTCCCTCTGCTCCATGCCTCCCTCTGCTCCATGCCTCCCTCTGCTCCATGCCTCCCTCTGCTCCATGCCTCCCTCTGCTCCATGCCCCCTCTGCTCCATGCCTCCCTCTGCTCCATGCCTCCCTCTGCTCCATGCCTCCCTCTGCTCCATGTCTCCCTCTGCTCCATGCCTCCCTCTGCTCCATTCCTCCCTCTGCTCCATGCCTCCCTCTGCTCCATGCCTCCCTCTGCTCCATGCCTCCCTCTGTCCATGCCTCCCTCTGCTCCATGCCTCCCTCTGCTCCATGCCTCCCTCTGCTCCATGCCTCCCTCTGCTCCATGCCTCCCTCTGCTCCATGCCTCCCTCTGCTCCATGCCTCCCTCTGTTCCATGCCTCCCTCTGCTCCATGCCTCCCTCTGCTCCATGCCTCCCTCTGCTCCATGCCTCCCTCTGCTCCATGCCTCCCTCTGCTCCATGCCTCCCTCTGCTCCATGCCTCCCTCTGCTCCATGCCTCCCTCTGCTCCATGCCTCCCTCTGCTCCATGCCTCCCTCTGCTCCATGCCTCCCTCTGCTCCATGCCTCCCTCTGCTCCATGCCTCCCTCTGCTCCATTCCTCCCTCTGCTCCATGCCTCCCTCTGCTCCATGCCTCCCTCTGCTCCATGCCTCTCTCTGCTCCTTGCCTCCCTCTGCTCCATGCCTCCCTCTGCTCCATGCCTCCCTCTGCTCCATGCCTCCCTCTGCTCCATGCCTCCCTCTGCTCCATGCCTCCCTCTGCTCCATGCCCCCCTCTGCTCCATGCCTCCCTCTGCTCCATGCCTCCCTCTGCTCCATGCCTCCCTCTGCTCCATGTCTCCCTCTGCTCCATGCCTCCCTCTGCTCCATTCCTCCCTCTGCTCCATGCCTCCCTCTGCTCCATGCCTCCCTCTGCTCCATGCCTCCCTCTGTTCCATGCCTCCCTCTGCTCCATGCCTCCCTCTGCTCCATGCCTCCCTCTGCTCCATGCCTCCCTCTGCTCCATGCCTCCCTCTGCTCCATGCCTCCCTCTGCTCCATGCCTCCCTCTGCTCCATGCCTCCCTCTGCTCCATGCCTCCCTCTGCTCCATGCCTCCCTCTGCTCCATGCCTCCCTCTGCTCCATGCCTCCCTCTGCTCCATGCCTCCCTCTGCTCCATTCCTCCCTCTGCTCCATGCCTCCCTCTGCTCCATGCCTCCCTCTGCTCCATGCCTCCCTCTGCTCCATGCCTCCCTCTGCTCCATGTCTCCCCTCTGCTCCATGCCTCCCTCTGCTCCATGCCTCCCTCTGCTCCATGCCTCCCTCTGCTCCATGCCTCCCTCTGCTCCATGCCTCCCTCTGCTCCATGCCTCCCTCTGTCCATGCCTCCCTCTGCTCCATGCCTCCCTCTGCTCCATGCCTCCCTCTGCTCCATGCCTCCCTCTGCTCCATCCTCCCTCTGCTCCATGCCTCCCTCTGCTCCATGCCTCCCTCTGCTCCATGCCTCCCTCTGCTCCATGCCTCCCTCTGCTCCATGCCTCCCTCTGCTCCATGCCTCCCTCTGCTCCATGCCTCCCTCTGCTCCATGCCTCCCTCTGCTCCATGCCTCCCTCTGCTCCATGCCTCCCTCTGCTCCATGCCTCCCTCTGCTCCATGCCTCCCTCTGCTCCATGCCTCCCTCTGCTCCATGTCCTCCCTCTGCTCCATGCCTCCCTCTGCTCCATGCCTCCCTCTGCTCCATGCCTCCCTCTGCTCCATGCCTCCCTCTGCTCCATGCCTCCCTCTGCTCCATGCCTCCCTCTGCTCCATGCCTCCCTCTGCTCCATGCCTCCCTCTGCTCCATGCCTCCCTCTGCTCCATGCCTTGCTCCTGCCTCCCTCTGCTCCATGCCTCCCTCTGCTCCATTCCTCCCTCTGCTCCATGCCTCCCTCTGCTCCATGCCTCCCTCTGCTCCATGCCTCCCTCTGCTCCATGCCTCCCTCTGCTCCATGCCTCCCTCTGCTCCATGTCTCCCTCTTCTCCATGCCTCCCTCTGCTCCATGCCTCCCTCTGCTTCATGCCTCCCTCTGCTCCATTCCTCCCTCTGCTCCTTTCCTCCCTCTGCTCCATGTCTCCCTCTGCTCCATGTCTCCCTCTGCTCCATGCCTCCCTCTGCTCCATGCCTCCCTCTGCTCCATGCCTCCCTCTGCTCCATTCCTCCCTCTGCTCCATGCCTCCCTCTGCTCCATGCCTCCCTCTGCTCCATGCCTCCCTCTGCTCCATGCCTCCCTCTGCTCCATGCCTCCCTCTGCTCCATGCCTCCCTCTGCTCCATGCCTCCCTCTGCTCCTGCTCCTTTCCTCCCTCTGCTCCATGCCTCCCTCTGCTCCATGTCTCCCTCTGCTCCATGCCTCCCTCTGCTCCATGCCTCCCTCTGCTCCATGCCTCCCTCTGCTCCATGCCTCCCTCTGCTCCATGCCTCCCTCTGCTCCATGCCTCCCTCTATTCCATGCCTCCCTCTGCTCCATGCCTCCCTCTGCTCCATGCCTCCCTCTGCTCCATGCCTCCCTCTGCTCCATGCCTCCCTCTGCTCCATGCCTCCCTCTGCTCCATGTCTCCCTCTGCTCCATGCCTCCCTCTGCTCCATGTCTCCCTCTGCTCCATGTCTCCCTCTGCCCACTACTCCGCCAATCACTGAGGCCGAACATGTTTGTTGGACCAAAAAAAGCAACAACCCCCCCGGCTCTTCCCCATCAACAGGCACTGCCTCCAGGCACCACCACGCATGCAGCAACCAGCAGCAACACTGCTACCTCCGCCACCACCACCATCACTCCCAGTGCCAGCACCAGCCTCACTCCCTGCCACACTTTCCCCTGGCAGCACCTGTCGCTGGCGTCCTCCCCGGACCTCACCTCCCGCGGCCTGGCAGCGCTGCTGCCCCTGGCCCCTCGCCTTGTGTCGCTCTCCCTCGCCCATACCGCTGCTTCCAACGCCTGCCTGCCCCTCCTCGCCTCCCTGCCGCTCCTCTCCTCCCTCTGCCTTGACGGATGTCCCATCTCAGGTCGGCTCTGCGCTCCCATTACCGTATATGGGTCAGCTTACACACTCACTGACATTTCCTAGGTCAGCTGATGTACACTGGATGCCCAGTATCCCATCTGGGTGCATGGATGAATGGGTGCGTGGTTGCGTGGCTGGATGGGTGTGTGCCTGCATGGCTGGTTGCAGGCGGTACATTGGATGACTGCATGGAGGATGGGGAGGAGGAGGAGGGCGAGGTTGAGTATCTCACTACTGTGTCCTGGGTCAGCTGATGACGTCACTCCTCAATGTCCAATCTCCCATCTGGGTACAGGCGGCACATCGGATGACGGCATGGAGGATGGCGACGAGGAGGAGGACGAGGAGGAGTACCTCTTGAGGCAGCACCTCGCAGGGTTGTACGCACCAACACCGCTACCATCAGCAGCAGCATCAGCGGTGGCGGAGGGTGGTTTGGCGCTGCTCGCTTCCCTACCGCTCCTCACCGCTCTCAGCCTGCTGGCGACGCCCCTCTCAACACACGGCATGCTGCGCCTGCGCCATCTCACCTACCTGCACTCTCTCTCCCTCTCCTCCACTGCCCTCAGCCCCCGCCGCTTCGTCTCCCTCCTTGGTAAACCCACCATCTGCGCCTCCCCATCACATTGTTTCCCTCAAGTGGTCCTTGTATTAACCTTGCTCTGTGTACAGTCTAGAGCAGAAGGGAGAGTGTAGAGCGACATGCAGCAGTCACGGTCTAAGGGAGCTCCTCAGGGGTCTGCACCACGGCAAAGCAGTCCCCGAGGGCGAGGGGCTCCTCGGGTGAGCCCATCGGGGGACATTCAGCCTGCACGGCTCCGTTGGCCTTATCCAGGCAGGCCAACGCGTGGCCCCCTCGGAGTGTCACGGTGGAGCGCTGCCCAAACTGGTGGAGCAAGAACGCCGCCTGGTGGAGCAAGAACGCCGCCTGTTGGGTAGATGGATGGGTGTTCAAGTGCCTCCTGGCGGCCGTGCCTGCCAGGAGCCTCAGGAAGGTGAAGGTGGCCATCCGCAAGTTTCACGGCTAGGGGTAGCACTTGTCAGCCTCTTCCTAACTTGTAGTCATTAATAGTCGGCTGCATCGGTCGCCTCGGTTCATCTCGAGAACCAGAAGCGCATTCAGGAAGATTTCATTAAGTCCAAGGAGGCGGAGGTTGAGGAAATTCAGTCAGCATCCGCCTCTCATGTGGCAGTTTTGGCGGCCAACCTTGAAGACTACATACAAGGCCTCAGCTCCGACCCCGAGCTCACCGTATCTGATGCGGCTAAGGAGCGCTTCCGGAGGATCAAGGCGTCTTGCATCGAGCAGGCCAAGTCTAAGATCGTCACCGCCAAGGATGAGATCGTCATCCAGGAGCTGCACAAGCAGAAGGCGCGCGAAGCTGAAGAGTTGAAGAAAGCTGCTGCTGCTGAAGAGATGGAGAAAACGGAAACGGCTTCGGTACTCGATGAACTCGTGCTGAAAGCTACTAAGCGGCAAGTCGAGGCGATGCGCAAGGAAGTTGTGGCGAGCGTCACTACGAGCGTCACTGCAAGCGTCGAGGCAAAGCTGACTGCGAAGTTCCAGAAGAGTTTGTCGATGGGATCGCAGGATCCAAATCCGCCCCCCTCGTCTTCGAAGCCCAAGGCGGACCTGTCCAAGAACCCGAAGAGGAACTCTTATGGGAACACCGCAGATGTACCGAAGGCTCCGAAGAAGCGAGGGAGAGGCAAGAAGAAAGCGAAGTCTCCAGGCGGCAGCGGAGGGAAAGGCCAGCAATCTTCCTCGACTACGGCCCAAGTTCCAAAAAACGGCGGTGGCGGCCGAGGAAAAGGGCCGCGCAAGAACTAACTGCACGAGATCTCACGCTCCGCCGGTTCGGACGTCTTGACTTTACAGCAGGTGCAGTCACGCGTTCAGAACTGGGGGGTACACAACCTGAGCTCCAAGGTTTTATCTCACGATGAAACCAAGGCGCTCGGGATGGGACTCAAATTCGTACCTACGCCGCCGTGGAACTTCTTCATCGAAGCAGATTTGGATCAACTGCATCGACGGATCTCCCTCAGTCTTTTCTTCAAGGATCAAGGGTCTTCAACTTCATCACGTTTCCAGGAGAAGAATCCAAGCTGGAGACCCGAGCGGGACGCGTTCCCGGAGCATGTCTTCAAGGAGGCGCGAGCTGACCTATCGTTCCTGCTGAAAGCGTGTAAGCCGCCTCGTGGACTCAACCTTTCGCGAGGAGTCTGCGCGGTTTTACGCTCCTTATCACTCGACAGCAACATCGTCATCAAGCCTGCTGATAAAAACGTCGGAGTAATTGTGATGGATCGCGCGCACTACGTCGCTCTCTGCATGGAGCATCTCGACGACGCGACAATGTACCAGCCGGTTCGTCACGACCCAACTCCTTCTGTTTTACAGCAGCTGACGGAGCTGAAGGCGACGTGGGGACCTGCTTTTCCTGATAGTCTTTGGAAGTACTTTTTCGATCGTCCGCCAGGAGGATGGCGACCAGCGTCATTCTATATCCTGCCGAAGCTTCACAAGAAAGTACCCGTGGGACGACCGATCGCCGCCTCACACTCCTGGGTCACGGCTAATGTGAGCCGACGGCTGGATTCTCAACTACGACCGCTAGGGCTCAAATAACCGACCTACCTGCGCGACTCCCTCTCTTTGCTGCGCGACCCACCAACTGTGCTCCTGGCCACTTACGACGTCACCTCGCTCTACCCAAGCATCTCCATCGATTGAGGGCTCGAAGCAGTTAGCAACTTTCTCCTGAGGGCACCAACACAGCTCGCTCAACGCTCATGGCTTTCTTGGGATGGGTCATGAGGAATTCTTTTGTGGAATTCAACGGCAGGATTTTTCACCAAGTGCAAGGAACTGCGATGGGAACTCCAGTTGCAGTCTGCTTTGCGGTCCTCTTTATGCGCTGTCTCGACGAGCTGCTTCAGGAGAGGTGGACCGGGATGTCACCAAGTTACCACGTCCGTTACATCGACGACGGCCTTATCATCTGGCCAGGCTCGCAGGCTGATGTGGAGGAGTACCTGCGAACCTTCAACGGCTTAGATCCTTCCATCAGGATCACGTGGAATATCTCGGAGCACTCCGTTGATTTTTTGGATGTTGTCCTCCACAAGGGGCAGCGTTTCAAGGAGTGCGGTCGTCTGGACCTCGGCACTTTTCAGAAGCCGATAAACAGATACCTCTACCTTCCCTTCTCCTCCTTCCACCCTCGGCACTGCAAGGAGGGTTTCATACGCGCCGAACTACAGCGTTACTTACTGTGTTCGACCTCCATGCGCACCTTTCTTGCAACGAAGCAGGCTTTCTTCAAGCGGCTTCGCGACCAGGGTTACCCCCCTGCTTTCCTTCAACCGATCTTCAAGGGCGTTCTTTTCGCGCAACGCGCAACACTACTCGCCAACACTCTCGCAAACCAGCAACTTCGACGACATTCTCTCCCCTCATCACGTGGACCCCTAGTTCTGAAGACGACCTACACACCTGTGTCGGCCCGTCTCAAACTAGGGGTCGTTTTGAGTCGACTAAAAAATCGACTCATTACACACGGATTATACACTGAGAGAATTTTTGTCGCATGGAAGGCTGGGCGTAACTCGCAAAAGTTACTTGTTCGCACGAGACTCCCTGAGCACCAGCTGGCGAGATGTGGGTTACCCACGACACGTCCCGAGGAATGAAGACCTGGCACCTTGGAACTTTCCAGGGTGTTTTGGATTGGCTGACCAGATTTCAGTCGCAGTTGTTCCAACCTTGAAGTTGTTGTTCTCGTAGCACAGTTTTTGTTTAAGAGCTTGCTTGTAAACTCACTTTTATAATTCCAAAAGCACTGACGAAGGTCTGATTTGGGGCCTGTCCCAGTCAGCCGAAACTAGTTTGCGTTTTAATCCTCTAGTGAAGTTGAGTTCAGAACTTCACTCGCATTTTAAACAGGGGTATCTTTACCTACTGTTACTCTTTTGCTAAAGTTTTCCTTTTCACTGCAGCCCACCCTAACGCTTAATGGCTACAGGTGGCCATCTGCAAGTTTCACGGCTAGGGGTAACACTTGTCAGCCTCTCCCTAACTTCTTCCTCATTATGCCCTAAACTAGCCGTCGGCCTGCCTCGGCGATCCGGGCCTGGACCGGCCCGGGCGGGCCGTGTTGTAAAATATATATCTATACAACATGCATGCCTAGACTAGGAGTTGTAGTCATTATAATTATTGGGGGGTTGTTGGTTGGGTTGACCAACCCCACATGTGGGTTGGTCAAGATTGGATTTGGTCCTAGACATTTGGTTGGCACTATTCCAACCAAATGGTCCTTGGTCCTAGGAACCAACCAATCACCAAGCACCACACTTTGTGGTTGCTTGCCTTCCAAGCAATCTCTCTCATTGGTCCACATTGTGGCCAATCGGAGAGCACAACACTTTGTGGTTGCTTGCCCTACAAGCAACCTCTCCCATTGGTCCGCTTTATGGCCAATAGGAGAGCTTCCCTTCCAACTCTTCCTTGCTCCTTGTTTTGTACAAAAGAGCCTCTTGGCTCCCCACTCAATTCAATCTTTTCTCTTCCAAGCTAGTTCCTTCAGGCCGGGCTCCAGAATGAGGTGGTCTTGGGGCCGGGCTTTGACGTACTCCGCCCGGCTGTGGTAGAGGCCGGTCTTCTTTGCCGCGTCCTTTGCGGGCCAGGGGGTCTCGGGTGCCGATGGGATCGGCGATGGTAACATCGCATGTCTGGAGCCAGGGTTATGTGTGGCCTGCTCCTCGCGTATCTGTTCACGTTTTATTATCCCTGTCACTCCACCCCCTCTCACTCCACCCCCTGTCACTCTCCACTCTCCCCTCTCCTTCCCCCTCCCCCCTCCTGCTGCAGCCTTCTGTCCATGCCGCCACCTGCTGCTCTCCTCGCCGCACATCACCGCCCACCACCTCCCCTCCCTCCGCCTGCACCCCTCAGTGCGCCTCCTCGACGCCTCCCTCCTCCCCGCCTTTCCCCCCCCCCACGCCACCACCCTGGCCAGTCAGCTGGCGCCACGCATCACTGTGGTGCACGCCTTTGACAGGGGGAGCAGCTCTGGGCTGTGGGTGCTGCAGCAGCGAGCGGGAGAGGGGAAGGGGCCACGCAGGGGAAGAGGGCAGGAGAGTAGAGGACGAGAAGGGATGGTAGAACGAGGGCAGGGGGGAGGAGCGGAGGGAGGGGAGTGGAAGGAGGGGCCGCGGGGGCAAGGAGGGCAGAGGGAGGAGGGTGCAGGTAGCAGCGATGGGAAGGGGGAGTCATTTCACAGAGGTGGGGGGAAACGGTCAGCTCACTCCAATGGGGGTAAGGGTCAGCGTCGGCATGTGGTGCCATGGGGTGGTTGGGAGGAGGTGATGGATGGGGTGAGGGGGTGCAGGTGGGAGGGAGTGCAGTTAGCAAGAGTGTCCCATGTGACTTGTTAATGCCCCAAGTGAACTTTCGGTGCCCCAGGTGAAGTTTCATTGGCCCAGGCTGCTCTCTCCAGCATTCATTGTGTGACATGGAGCGAGTGCAGCGACTCCCCACCCTACTTGCTGAGCTTCACTCTCTCTGCCACGATATGCCCTTCACTCACCATCCACCTTCCTTCCTCTCTCTTTCGTTGCCATTCCCCTCCCTCGCCCCTACCCTGCAGATGAGAGGCGCAGGTTCTCCCGGGCTGAGCTCAATTCTCTGCGCCGTGCTGCACAGGCGCTGCAGCTGCCTGTGCCATTGCCACTGCCGTTATCCCGCAACCAGCCATGGAGGTTTAGTATTCTGTAGCGTTGCAAGAGCTGCGGCGTTGTCTCAATCTGGTGCTGTGTTTATGGGATGGGAGGCATTGCCATTTTCTCCCATTCTTTCCTTGGAAGTGTTTCAGCGCCATTGAAGTGCTACCAGCTTCTTGTGTGATTCGAGTAGACTTTCAAAGCAACGACAGCACCACCCTCTACACAACTTCTGTTGCCTGCAGTGTCTATAGCGCACATCGCTTCTTGCAACATTCATCACCCCACGCTTTTTTTTCATGTGACGCGTTATAAATGGCTACAACACATCAACCTCTTTTGCAGCATGTTTTTTACTCCCGCACACCCCGCGTCCATCTTTGCAAACATGCTTCCATGTGCCGTGCTATGCCTCAACGAGAAAGGTTAGATACAGTGCACCAACTTCACCCATCGCAAGTTTCTCCCATGGTGGAACTTGTTAGGCTGAGAATAGCCCTAGAATCTTTTCAGCGGAACGAAGCGCTTGTAACAAAGTGCTTGATAGCACAGCGGAAGTCTTGTTGAGTGAATCCTTGTGCTGTTATGTGAGAACAAGTGATTGGTTTTAGCAAAGGGATACAAAGGTTTATATAATAATACAAGAGAATACGAAGAGTCTAACTGATGATGCACTTCGAGGGGTACATTCCCTTTTACGACTCAATAAGGGCGACTCGGGTAACCACCCGTGCTGCAATACCTCGACGGTTATTTGTCCTTGCTGTCGCACTGACTTGACTCTTGTACATGTACTTCTGACTAATGGGTTGCGGTCTGCGACCGTTGCCCTTTCGTAACCTCTTCGAGGTGTCGTCAACCTGCGTCAACCGTCGGAGGTACTGTAGCAGGGTTTGACTCGTTGGTCCTCGATGTTGTGCTCTTCGCGTATTGTTACAGCACGCGAGATTCCTGAAATGTGCTGAAGTCCTATTATCATTTCCAATACCCTCCATTTTTGGAGTGTCGATGCGGTCGAGGTTGCTGACGTGTTGTAGTCCATTCAGCAGCATGCAGTACTGGAACTTCGACTTCATCAGCTTCTTGGTCAAGAATTCGGCTGCCATTTCGGTGGTGGGGCAGTAGCCCAATTGGAGACATCCCTGCTCGATCTCGTCTTTCACGAAGAAGTAACGAAGACAGATGTGCTGTGTTTTGTTCGCGAATCCATTTTTGTTGGCGATTTTGATCGTCGATTGGTTGTCGCAGAAAAGAGAAAAGCTTGGTAATTCAGCAATCTTCGCTTCTTCGAGCAGCTCAAACAGGTAAAGTCCTTCATTTGTAGCTGTGTAGAGGGCGATATATTCAGGTTCAGCAGAGGAGAGGGCAATTAGTTCTTGTTTTTCCGAGTGTCAGGATATAGTGCCGATAGGCTCCAAGCGGTAGATGTAGCCTGTGCGAGAGTGCCTGTTGTCCCTGTCGCCGGCGTGATCGGCGTCGACATAGCCGATGAACCCCGTCTTGGTACTGGCGTTCTTGTGGTAGGTGAGACCGATCGTCGGGGTCGAGATAAAGTAGTGGAGCGCACGATCGAGTTCGTACAGATTCCCCCCTTCAGGTCGCTTAAGGTGCATGGCGAGCTGACTAGCGGCGTAGAAGAGATCAGGATGGCAGGTGACGGCAACGAAGAGCAGATAGCCTAGCTTCTGCTGGTATTCCTAAATGCGGGCCGGGGCGAGTAGTGAGAAGGATGGTGGGGGAGCCGGCGGCGCGTAGAGGTATGGAGTAAGGAGGGGTGGCGGGGAGAGATCGAACCGCCGAGTGATCGAGCCCCAGGTACTGCGTTACGGTAGGCGACACCGTGATAGTGAGTTGGATCTCTATCTCCCCTTCAACTGACAGGAGCGAAGGTCTCGATGTAGTTGCGCCAGTGCTGCTGGTCGAAGCCGCACACTACCTAGCGAGCCTTGAAGTGTTCGATGGTCCCATCTGCCTTGGTCTTCATGCGGAAAACCCAATTTTTCGAGAGAATAGTCTTTCCGTCGTTTGAGAAATTGGTATTAACTTTTAAGTGTTCCACCCGTGTAATGCCGCTAACTTCCAATCCATTGCTTCCCTCCATTTTTCCCTGTGCGGTCCCTCCAGAGCTTTCTTAACAGTCTTCAGTTCCTCAACTTGTGGCATGGAAGGCGGAGGGTGGACGGCTGCGACAAGTCCAAGTATATGCATGCCAGTTTCGGTGTAGCAGGGAATGGTAGGATCCTCGGGATAGGCAGCTTTGTCTGACGCTTCAGGGTCAGGTTTGAAACCACGTCCTATGCTTTTGGAAACGTTGCTTTTGACAGAGTGGGGTGTAACGTAACCATTGTCGGCGAAATGGTAATATGCTTCAGCATTCGCGCTTTCGCGAGGATTGTCGTCGTCCATCTGCATGTCAACGGAGTAGTAAGGTAGGGGTCCTCCAGTTGCAGATGCGTCCGGAATGTTCTGTTCGTCCAGGCCAGCTTCTTCGTCTGCCGAGGCGGATGTGCGTGCACCAGCGAAACCACCAGACGAATCCTGATTGGTGGCGATGTTCTTGAGGCAATGGTTGAGGGTAAGGTTCTCGTAAAAGGTCATATCACGTGCCGGTTCTATTTCCTTGTCTTCGAAGTCCCAGATTTTCTATGTCTTGTAATGGTTTTCCATGCCGAGGTGTAGTCCCCATCTTGTCCGCTGCGAAAATCGTCCAGCTCTTGCAGTGTGGGGTTGGTACTGTACCATACAGCCAAAAACTCATAAAAAATTTGTACTGCCGTTCTTCCCTGTCCACAGCAGATGCGGTGATGTGTTGTTTGCAGGGAGCTAGATGACATAAGATTCTGCAGCATTACAACATAATTCTTTGCCTCCGGCCATTGTGAGTCAGGCAGTCACATGCCCCGCAACAGCTTCCGCATGGTGTTCTGGAGAGTCCTGTTCATCCTCTTTGCTACACCGTTTTGTGGGTGAGCATAGGGTAGCGTGACGAGCCTGTTGATTGCCCGCTCAACAAGATTGTCCTTCAAGCATTGAGTATTCCATCGCCCCGGCTGACTGGAATTTTTTAGCTTCATATCTCCCTCCCACTCTACTACAGCAAGCCATTCGACAAAGGCAGAGAAGGCAAGATCGCGTGGCGGCAGGTTAAGATTCCAGGTGTAGCGCGTGGCAGCATCGACGAAGGTGATGACGTAGTTGAGGTCGGCCTGGCCGACTTTGCGTGGGATATACAGTATGTCACTGTATACTTTCTTGAGAGGAGTATATTCAGGTGCACTTGGGTTGTGATGTGGCGGAAACGGTTGTCAATGAAGATCTGCTTGGGGACAGATGAAACAGGTACGGTAAGGGCGTCGTAGTTCACAGCCATCGAGAAGTAGGAGGGCGTCCTTGTCGAGAAAGTTTGCGCAAATAGTGTCGAAGAGTCTTGCGTTGTCGGGATGCCCTAATCGTTGATGTCATATCTCTTCGCTCGCCTTGTGTCCCACAGATCGACAGTATAAGTCTGAGTTGGCGTAGAAAGCGGAAACGGTTGTGGCGCTCAGATGCTGCTCGCGAGTGTGCGCCTCTAGCTGCTCGGCTTCGGTCGGTGGTGGTTCTTCGACGGGCGGTGTGTCAACCGAGACTTCTTTGATGGGTGGCGCGGACGAAGTTCTAGCGATGGGACTTGCAGGGAGTACTTGTGTTGGCGTTTGTTGCGCGGTTATTCTTGTTTCTCTCGTGTCGCGCATCATAGCTAATTCTTTAGGAATGATGTTGGAGTACCTGAAGCCATCGCGGTCAAAGCCCGGGTCAAGATCCGGAGGGTGCATCCAGGACGTAAAGAAGATTACGTCGTTGCTGTCAGCAGTGCCGCGGTCTGGAACAAATTCCAAGATGAAGACACCGCGCTTTTGGATCGCTCGACCAATGAAGAGGCCGCCCTTCCCGTGGTAGAGTCGGAACTCGTGGTTGAAGCTATCGCACTCTAGGTGAATGCCTTTCAACATGAGTTGACCGACATTTGAGATTTTCGACAACGAGTATCCTTGTCATTTGTAACACAACGCTTGTCTCAAGAGATAGTAACTGAACGACTCCTTCCTTGCGTGTGGGCTGGTTCTGATTGTTGGCAACGGTGATCACGACTTCTCGGCTCAGAGTCTTCTCCCGTTGAACGAAGCGCGCCGAGTACACATGTGCTGGCCGTAGCAACTATCAAGAAACCAAGTGTCATGGCCAGGCGGTTCGCCGTAAGCTATCGCAGCGTAAGTCGGGTTCGGTTGGAGCCGGGTTTGTGTCGGAGCGGGTGGATACTCGTCAAGGTCGCGGTGAGGCTTAGAGTCGGGTACACAGTAGTCGGTCCGTGCCATGCAGCTAACAACATTTTGTGCGTCTTGTGCTGAGAGATTCGTCAAAGCTGGCGGGCGTTGCTGAGTTGAGGTGACCGGACTTGGAGACGGACGAGGTGCTCGGGGCTGATACTGCTGAGGTTGCGTCTGTTGATGCTGGGGATGGCGCTGCTGCTGCCTTGGACAGTTGAAGCGGGAGTGTCCCAAAGTTCGGCAGAGATGACAGAACGGAGGTGAGTGTCATTTTTGGTGTGTATTATTATTGCGCCCATGCGCATAAAAGGCGAGTTGATGACTTGGTTTCTTTGCGTGGTGCTCGTACAGGTCCATGTCTTGCTGCTCGGTGTGAAGCTCCGTGCATAGATGCATGTCGGAGATTCTCCCGTGAGCTCGGATGAGGGAGCGCGTCGTATGCCACTAAGGACCAAAACCAGCGAGGACGGTTGTGACGAAGGAAACTTCGGATAAGTGCCCGCCACTTCGTAAGAGTCTGTCGCGCAATCCCTTGTAGCGATTCATGTACGCCATCACCACTCTCCGGCTTGCATCTGAATCGTCGTGAGTTGTGCCATCAGTCGGCTTCGAGTCACACTGTCAGAGGCTTGGTAGACACTCTTCAAATGACAGTAGGCGAGTTCAGCCGAGTTCCCCAAGTTGCGATATGTGCAAATGCTCTGTTGTTCTGTTAGTATCAGGTTGCGCAGAAGAAAGGTGAAGGCCATCAACCACTGATAAGTGTAAATTTTATTTTCTTAAATAGTCTCGTTAACAGAGAATGCCTAAGAGCCAGTGAAGTACCCGAGGATCTGCGCGCCGTCCATGAGCAGCTCGAACCCGAAGCTCTAGGTAAAGGAGTACTTGCCATTAAAGGAGAAGGATTTTTGGAGCTTGAGTATGTTTTTGAACTGCCGCAACATGTTGAGAATGTCCGTTGGTTTGTTGCTTGCTTCTAAGTCCACTACTGCCGCTAAAGTCGGCAGGAATGTGAAAGAGCCTGGC